TTGGGTTTTTAATTTGTTCTTGATAAGCTGTGTTCCTAATGCTAATGAGGATGATGCTGGTCAGGATACCACACACTTTTATAATCACTATGTGTGATTTATTACTCTTATAATAGTGCTAGTGATACTGTGAGCACTGGTACTTATTGTTCTTTTGAGTAAACTGGGTTAAGAAACAAAAATTGAGAGTAAGACAAATGAATGACTATGCTGATACAGTGAAAATATAAACCACCAAGAGGTGAACCTCCTCACTTTCAAGCCTCTTTCTTTAGCCTTTGCAAAACCCAATACTATGACCAAACATCACTCCTCACAAGATTTCCTGTGCTTTATGTTTCTACAATGTTGCATCCTTTCCAGACATTTCCATTCTGAGTATTCCTCCTAACAGAAAATTTTAGGTAAGAAACTTTGATTCAGATTTCACTTTTAACCTTTGCCTCTCCTCTTTTCAAATAATCTCAGACTTAAATATTCTATTTCTTTAAATACCTAGCTCATCTTGCACAAGTCCAGGTTCAACCTTGTAAAAGTTATTAAAAGATAAGTGCTCTTTGAAACTATTTTTTATATTAAACACACTGACATAAATGAGTAGTTATATAAGTGCCAATCATTTACTGATCTATTTCATCTTTTTAGGCTAAATTTATTTTATTACTGTTTACTGCCGTTACAATGGTGCTTGTGCTTATAAGCTATGCCAGAGATTCTCAGAGTACCTGTACTAATAGTACCAAATCTCCTTGGAACTTGTTAGAAATGCATATTCTTGAGCTGACTCAGATTTACTTAATCAGAAAGAGGTATAGAGAGTAGGAAAAGCAATTTGTGTTTCTAAAAATCTAAATTTTGAGAATTGTTGCTTTACCAAATACAGTATTTTCCAGTTATATCCTTTAATCTTTGCTGTAATACTGTAATAGCAGTGACTATATGTGGTCCTAGGGAAATAAGAACCCAAGAGATTAAATAAATTATTGTACATAACACTGCTATTTAATAATATTTCAAAGTAGAATTTTGGTCTTTTTTTTTTTTTAAAGATTTATTCATTTATGCATACAGAACTGAAGTACAGGTCAGAGGTGCAGGTGCAGTGAGAGGATTCATCAGACACAGAGGGGGCAGCAGAACAGGCTGACTGACAAAGTACACTGTTGAAGGGAGCACCGGGTGGGTCAGGAGAGGTCTTTGGTGCCATGTGAGTCACCTCCGGGGCAGGGATTGAACTCATGCTGAAGTGGCTTTAGCTTCTTAGTGCTGTGTTTAACCTGATGTGCCACCAGGGAAGGCCCAAACTTTTAGTCTTTTTCAAGTAACTTAGCCCTTTTCTGTGAACACACATGAGACATTATCAGTTACTTAAACATTCTAGTTTTCTGAATAATTATCGTATGAGATCTCATTCTTTCATTACTTTTAATCATCATGATGTCTTTGACTAGTCAAATAACAGGGCCCCGTATTTTCTTTCCTGTTCTAAAACTAACTTCATTATATATTTTTAAACCAAGTGAATGTTTTTTTAAACTAAAAAAAAAAGTATATAAAATATTTTAATGCACTTACTTAAACAAACCCAAGATCAAAATAAAAAGTTTTATATAACAATTAATATTCACCAGTATACTATTGACTTGAGTTTACTGCTCTAATCTCATTTTAATGACCCACACCCATTTAACTGCTGTTCAGTTACCAGCAGTGTTTCTAAGATTAATTTGGTGTTATTTGTGCCAATTGAAATAGTGCTGTCCTCTCTGTTAGTTATAATTTTCACATGACTCTATTTAAATTAATTAACTAAATTAGCAAACCATAAAATCAAGTATGTTTATAGAGACCCAAACCTTTTAATGGCCTCTATTAGAGCCTCTAGACAGAAAGTTCTTAAAAAGAAAAATAGTTTATTTTACTGAACAAGACATGATGGATCCTTTAATAAAAAGAAATTGCTATTTTAAGTTGTAACTAATATTTCTCTTGACTGTAATAGAAAATAATTTGCAAAATGATAAGTTGACAAGTCAGACTGAAATAATTAATGAAGATTTAGGGTCATATTTTATTTTCTATTATGTTCTCCATATCTGTTATTTCAACAGAATTTACATAATGTGGCATTTGAATTATGGAGAATAGAAATCTGGCTGCATTATAAAACACCAGTCCATCTGGGAAATGATCTTGGGGCTAGACTATTTATAGAAAATAACATAATAATCTCTGATATGTATCATATGTATCGTTAAATAAAGACAGGTTATAGGAAATTTTTAAAATCATCTGTGTAGTGGTTGTTTTATTTATGCTTTCTGTTAAACATCTTTTAACCTCAGAGAAGAATAAATTGGTGGTAATTAATTTCAGAAGATAGTGACGTAATCATCTCAACGGTTGTTAATAGATTGAGTTTCTAGACCCTACCCTAGTATTGGTAAATTAGTTTTAAAGAAGGACCCCAAAACCTATATTAACAGACACTAACAGTGATTCTGGTCCCTGGGCCTCATTATAAGGCCTGTTGAACGAAAACATATTTCTTCAAAATAACACGCTAAAATCACCAAGGACAAATACTCTGAATATTGTTGTTCTATACCCAGCTTTTACAGCCAGATAGGTTCATTGCTACTGACTTTCACCATGGCAGTAGTGGGCCAATTTGGAGTCTTGAAATATATTTATTATTGTAGTACATTGTTAGGACTCTGTGTAAGTATCTTAAAATGGATGAATGAAGGAAACCACTAGCCTTTTGGGTTAGCTTTCTAAGTTACCCACCTCTTTATTTTCTACGTGTCTTCTGAAAAAGAACCTTATCTTGCACATTTTCGTATCTCTACTTTTAACAGTATTTTATCTATCCATAGCCAGTGTATACCTGTCAAGTAAGAAAATTTTTTTTTTTGTTTTTAATCTGTCATACGAGAGTGTCACCTCCATGAGTTCAGGGATCTTGTCTTTCTAGTTCACAATAGTTTTCTCAGTGACTTCATAAGTAACTTCACTTTAGATCTTCTTAAGATTTAATGTTGAGGCTTGAGAGATGACAAAAATTATTTTTATGTAAGAAAAAAAACCTCCCTTACCCTTTAAATATAGACACAGTTGAAATATCTCTGCCTTTCACAAGGAATAAGATGATAGCCTTTGTCAAATTCTGAACTGTAGTTTCACCAGTTTATTATGGTTCACAGAACTTTCTCTCAAAGTTAGTATTATGTCAGTAATTATGAGATTATTACAATAAGTCTAAATATCAGTTTCTTGACATCCTATGAAGTAAAACTGTTTTCCCAGGATCCAGAGAGTATGTCAGTCTGACCTGTGACTTCTCTTAGTTGAAAATAAGGAAAACAAGAATTTTCCAAGTATCAAGGAAACTTATTGTGATAAATATTTTTAGTGTACTCTTCAAAAAATAGTCTGTATTTCTTTCCAACGCATTTTTGTATCAGTAAGTTAGAATTTTGACAAAGTGTGAATTCTCAAAATTTATATCATGGAAGACTGTGATTAACTTATGTTAAATTTCCCCAGATGACTTGAAGTACTTGTGTTACTGTCTCTGAATGCTCTAGGATGTTTTTCATTGAACTTGTCTTCTCTGGATTATCTACTTGCCTTCACTTTGAATATACCATAAAAGAATATTAGTCAGTAAAGCATTTTATTTCTTGATTGATTGTTGTCAACATCCTCAATGTGGATCATCTTCTTTGACAAGTTTACAAACATCAGGTTACTGTGGGTTTATTACTCAGCATATACTCCAGACCTATGTTACCATGTCTCCTTTCTGATCATTTCCAGTTATTTGTCCTCAAAACATTATTAGAACAGTTCACAAAAGCCTCTTAATTCTCTTTCTAAAGCCAGGTTTCCTAAATGGGTAGCATACAAATAAAATACAAGCTCTAAAATACAGAAAAACATAAATGACAGGGTATAAAGAGAAAGTAGGGGGAGAGGCAAGAATTAATACCTGCAAATTCTGTGGCCTATGGGGAATAGCAATGTGACTCCAAAGCAATTTAGAGTTGTTAGTTTGGAAGCTGGCATTAAAACTTGTCTTAAAGTCCTCCAAAGCATTAGTGAAATGCTTGTGAGCATTGTCCTTACATTGTATATTTCAGATGTTTATGAAAATATCGGTTACCTGAAGATGCTTTTATTCACACCATATGTGTTCAAAATGATCAGCTATCCATATGAAACAGTAAAATTATTTTATCATATTAGTGATTCTTTGGGAAGCCTCTGTTTAAGCTGAATGAGGGCAGAAGTGGAAGCTGATTAGCAGCATAACAGAGGAGATACAGCAGTCACAGCCGCAAATACAGGCAGTGCAGCCCTCACTTATTTTATTCTTTTAAATTGCATTCACAATCTGTGTGGTGATTGTCCTTGGAAGTATTTTATTTCCTCTTCTCCTTGACAAAATATCCCTCTAATTCAAATTTCCACATATTCTGTAGATAATACCACAGGAAGCTGTACCACAACAAAAATATCAAATACCTTCTAGGTGCATTTTCATTTCTAGCAGTTCCCTAAGCTATAATTTAGATGGTTGTTCTTAGACATGATTTTGTCCAAGCAAGCATGTTCTTTACTGTTTTCAATTTCTTCAAATATCTTTATGATACTGGAAAACATATTGTGGGTAAATATGGCCTATGTGGTTTTTTTTTTTTTTTTTTGATGTTCTCTTTCCCCATAATATGATTGTGCTAACAAATTATCTTCAAAAGAGAAATATACAAATCAATTCCAGATTTTATAAATTCATTAATTTCAGTAGTAACTTATGCCAATTTACAAACTAACAATAGGTAAAGCCTTGTTACTGAATTTTATTTGTCTTTATCTTACTTACACTTGTGCTAAAATAAAGAAATGAAGATTTAATTGAGTTTATTTTGAAAAAAAAGTACTTGTTTATATTTAATTAATGTGTATATTAAATAAATTGCTTTCTTTTATTTTAGGTGATGGTGTTTGTACATGCTCGAAATGCCACTGTAAGAACAGCTATGTCTCTGATAGAAAGAGCGAAAAATAATGGTCAGATTTTGTACTTTTTACCGACACAAGGATCTGACTATGGACATGCAGAAAAACAGGTAGGGAAATAATGGCAGGTTCCGAGAAACAAAGCAAATGATGTGTCAAGATGCCAGATATTTTCTGTGGAAGTCCCCTGGTCTCCAGTTTCCAAGATGATACTTTTACACATTTTATTGTGTTATAATTTACTTTTTTCTTCACTTAATGATATTTCAAGGATACCAAATGTTTGATGTATGCTATTATCACACTTCTTTCCATGCCATTGCAACTATAGTGATATATTCTGTCCTTTAAAATATAGTTAAAATATAAAATGTAGTTAAGTTTCATAAAATATGCTGACATGGGGCTTATTGTTTTTTTGAATTATTTAAAATGTTTCATAAATTGTTCAATTATTTCTAAGGTTAATATGGACAGATATAACATGCACAAGTAAAACATATTTTTAAGAATGTGAAAGTTTGATACAAAAATGTTGGAGGATAACTGCCTTGTTAGTTAGTGTATGACCAAAAGACATAACAGTCCTGGATCCTCATTGGAAAACGCAGAGCCATCAGGTCCAGCAGAGACACACGAAGGCACAGTCTGCATTTATCTTGATCCCCAACTGATCTTAAATGTACATTATTTAGAAGCACTTCTTTAGATGATGTAGATATTGATGGTATCTTAAGGTTTACAAATAATGCCTATAAATTAAGTAGGCAAACTACTGCCTGAGAGCCAAATGTGACACCTGTTTTATAATTAAAGTTTTATTCAAAAACAATCCTCTTCCTTTATTATAGTTCCATTGATTGCACTGCAGTGTAGAAATGAATAGTTGCTACAGAGACTATGTCATCCACAGATTGGAAATATCCTCTGTCCCTTTGTAGAAAAAGTTTGTTCTTGTTTAAGACTACAAATAAATTTTCAAATAAAACCATCTAAATGATAGTTACTTCAAAATAGTTCATGTGCATATCATATAGCTGATATTTAGTGATCACTGCTGGCTCTTAGATATTGTGCTGTGCACTTTCACATATTGCATTGTATATTTCACCATTTTATATTGATAATTAAAATTCTTAATGTGATGTTCTGGTGCCCGTTGTTTCAAATGTCAGATTCTCCTCCAATTTAAAATTCCAGTGTCTATTCATTTTTTTTTCCATTTCATATCATCATTTTCTACTATATTACTTACACCGCTGTAGTTTTTTGGTATTTATTAGTTATCTGTGAGTCTTTAAAAAGTTAGGTTGGTATTCATATGTCTTGTTTCATTTCTTTTAAAATACAAAGCAACTCTGTTGTGTTTAAAAGCCAAGTCTTGAGAGCCACCTTGTGGCTTTCTGGTTACTTCGTACTTCTCAATTCTGAAAAAACAATTGCTATTCTAAATAATGCAAGTTATCATTTAAGTGCTATAATAATAGTATTTGACATCAAGAATTTTCTAACGCTAGGCTTTGTTTTCATTGCTTTATCTAACTCATTCAGTCCTCAACTACCTGTGATGTATTGGCACTATTATTACCCTTGGCACTATTATTACCCTTGATATGGCATATGTGTAAATAATATAATTTGAAGTATTCTAAAGCATCTATAAATAGTTCTTACTGAAATATTTTCAAATAATGTTTAATTAAGACAGTGTCACCAAAAACAAATTCATAGATTACTATTTGCAAAAAAAAAAAAGACAAGTTTTAATACACTAGGTAGTTTTGGAAGTCTAGTCATTTTAAGTCTCTCTTTTTTTTTTTATTATACTTGATTTTTATCCTGACCAACTATTATTACTGGATGTTTTGAACAAGAATGAACTCTATAAATACTAATAATTTCATATTTTCAAGGAACATTGTCCTGTTCACCATTATATTTCTAGCCTTTCATATATTGATAGTTAGATACCACAAAATCACCATTTTTTTTTCCTTTTGTACCTCTGAGACAAACAATGTAATGAATGTTCTCACTTTCATTATCTCATTTCATCTGCAGGCTATTCTGTCCATTATAGAAACTTCCCCATATAGATAAGGAAACTGAGACTGAGAGAACAATTTTCCCATAGTCATTCAGGTAGCAAGTAGTAGAGCCATGATTTGCATCAAGTCTCCCCTTTTCACTGCCCTCTATCTTTCTTATTCAAAAGCCAAAGTAAACCTGATATGTTACCTTATAAGCTTGTAGGACTCTTGAGTCTAATTTAAAGTAAAATGGGAGAATATTTCTTTAGTCTATCATATACTTCATTTCTCTAAAGAAAGCATAAAATTAATTGGCCTTTCTACAGTGGATATTACTTTATTTAAAAAGATATGATAATCTTCTGAATATTGAAACTCCAAATTTTGGATTATTTTTCTATTGCTAGTGTGTTTCTTATTTCTTGAAGTGCCTTTTGAATAACTTGAATGATATTAACATTCTAGTAATTCTAAGGAAGCCATTACCATGATGATAGGAGATATTTCTTCCCATGTTTTTGAAAAATGAGAAATTAAGTACCCAAAACATTAAAATAAAATTAGAAGGTAAATTTCCTATGGTAGCACATAGAAATTTAGCCTTATGACTCCTATTAATGGAAATACAGCCAAATTCCTACTGTGCCATAGTGATACTTCACCCCTAAGTGTTCGTGTATCCATCTTAATTCCTGACCTACCAAGTATGATTTTTAAAAGCATTTCTTCACAGTTTTATTCAACACATTATAACTTTATTTATATAAATAATAAAATTAGATTAAGGAAATGTTTCTTTCTCTTCTGTGTATATGTGTGTAAGCAAGTGTATAAATAACTAGGCTTTTCTGTGACTTAGCCATAGCTCCAAATGAGTTCTTTTTTTCCTAGTTAGTAGCAGTTACACTTCAGGATTCATTTCATCACTCCCTTCTTTAATAGCAGACTCTCCCCGTATATGAAAAACCAACTGTATTTCCAACTTTTCTATGAAACAAAAAAATAGGTAAAGTAATGTATCACAGAGTAGCTTAACCTGTAGAGATAAAGACTAGGTTTCCTCCCTAAGAAGGGAATCTCTCCTGAATTCCAAATAAAACCCTAACAATAGCACATTAACAAAAAGCTGCAGTTGTGATACCTCTAAAAATCATGTGGACTTATTTTTGAAATTTACTTCCTCTTCTATGAAAAGGAATAATGAGATCAATAACATCTCTAGTAGTTCACTATGAGAACAACAGGAATGACATACAGAATTATTTTGGAAAGTGACAAATAAATTCTAAAACTTAACTTGTATTATATATCTACTATATGCAATTTTTACTATACCCAAATTTTAAAATGGTGAGAGGACATTCTGAGCAACATGGATAAATTTCCCTTTTTCATATTCCATATCATTACTTTTTGCCTTATCCCACAAAGAGACTCTGTTAAGAAACCACTATTTTCTGTACATAGAACAACTCAGTGAATAGTAGCAGTTTACAGTATAGAAGTATATCATTAGGGATGCAGATATTCTTATTAAACCATTGCATTTAGTTATGATTTTAAGTTGAATTAATATATCATTTAGAATCTCTAGTTTCTTTTTTCTATGATGCCAGTCTAATAAATTCCTTTCTATAGCCAGAATTTTTAATAGGGTTTAAAAAAATTCTAGTATTCAAACTCACCCCTGTACTTTATTTCTCTAGGTGTTGGTTTGGTTCAGTCCTTATATATATTAGTGATTCTAAGAATTTTTTCTTTAGATAGAAATGGTGGATCATGCAGCAAATTTCATGAATGCAGCTATTTAAAATATCTATTTATAAAATCAGGACATTAGTAAAAATTCACTAATAAAATACATCCTTGTGGTATCCTTAAAGCCTCATTTTATGGCTTTATTATTAATCTAGATCTACCAACCTTAGGAACAGTGGGTTTTCCCTTTCTTCTTGGTTTCTTTGGCTGGTTAAATTGGCATGAGACTGATTAAGAGGAAAAAAATAGTTTAATTTTGTATGTAAGTGCCCACAAAGTTACTCAAGCAGGCAGCTTTTATATCATTCAGACAAGAATTGACAAGAAGATAGAGTTTGGACTTGGAGAAGTAGATTGGTGATGTAACATGGTTTGTTTATACAGGATACAAAGATCCCTTGTGTCTCTCTGATAGAGGGAATATACCTTTCAAATGAAGAATTTATCTCCTCTCATGGACACAAAGGAGGGTCAAGGTGTCCTTCTTGCACCTGCTATTTTATTAAAATAACGCTTTAATTCAAACTAATCAGTGTTCCACAGTGGTCTATTTCAGGGTGGCCTGTTTTGCTTATTAACCATTCTTGTTTTCATAGCTCAACCTTTCCCCAATTTTAAGGAATTTGTTTTTAAGTTACAAATACTTAGTATCAATAGCTTGTTTTCTTTCTAAGCAGTTTTTCAGTGTCTATATGGCAAAAAAAAAAATTCATTCTTGGATTTTGAGATGTGTTTTTGAAACAGCACAAATTTCTTCTAATAATTTTTATATCTTATTAAGGAGCCATGCTGTTTTCAAAAATGTTGGTTAATTGGTATACTATTGTTGTTTTATTGGAAAAACTTTAGTAAGGAAGCATTCCAAGGATATCCAGATTCAATTAGTAAGACTATTAATCCCTGGAAATGTAGATGGATATCAGTTTTGAAATATTAATTTATCTATAATTTACATACAAAAGGAAAATGAATAGTATCTAGAAAATACAAAATAGTACCTAAAAAGGTAGATACATTCTTTTGGAGGTAGAAGTAATATGATGACATTACAAAGGGTAAGGGTTTGGGAGGTCTTCATGGGAAATAGCACCACGTAACATAATGACAGGAATTGAAATGCAGTAAAAGCATGAGATGCAATATCCTGTCTTGGATAAGGTTTAGTAGCAGGTGGCATTGCCTGATGGACTGCCTCTTAAAGGAGCAGGGGTTTTTGCAAATGATGAGAACATAATTCCCTAGGAATGGTGACAGGGAGAGAGACAATATGTATCACCATTTGAAAGGGGTGCATGATGGAGTCATTAGAGGAGAACCAAATT